TTCCAGCCAAACAAAAGACAGGCATATGAGTTGAACATTTACCTCAGGTAGATACACTCCTTTGAGAGAACAATCATGGGAGAAAGAAGGTCTGTTTATGCACAGGGAGACAGCTCAGGGGGCAGGAGTGCATGCAGAGATGGACACTGGGAAGAGGTAACTATGGGGAGGAAGTGGAAGGGGAGCTGTTGCATTGTGGTCAACTGTCATCAATGACATGAGACAAAATGTATTGAACTGCTGTATAGAAAGTGAATTTGCTCTGTAAATCTTCACTCAAATCACAATAAAAAAAAAATAAAGAATAATAGAGTCTGCAAAACACCGCATAATATGGATGAACTTGGAGGACATTATGCTGAGTGATATAAGTCAATCACAGAAGGACAAATATAGTATTAGTTCGTTGTTGTGGAGGGTCAAGGAAAGGTTTATATATGGAGGGAAACTTTGGTGGTTGCCAAGGGTGGGAGGGGAAGGAAGGGGAGGAGAGGGAACACTGAAAAAAAAAATGCATTGACCCATGTCACTTTAGTGTTGTGTATTTCACTGTACATAAATTATGTTTCATTAAAATACATTTTTTTAAAAAAGCTACAAAATCGTAGTATGTTATTCCAGCTAAGTCATTGATCTTTTCTTCTCTGCATTTCAAAGAATTCTTAGATTTTTCAGAGCTCTCAAAATACAAATGCTATACTTGAAGTTTCCAGGGGCAACGTATTAATAAACTAAATACTCCATTTTTAGTTTTTTTCTTTCTTTAAAACTGTAATAATAAGATGACAGCAGTGTTTCATATGCAGTATTATAAATGAAAAATATGGTTTATATCAAGTTTAAAAAATAAACAGTTTGCTTTATTATTTTCACATGTGAACTTCATGGCTCCTTCCTTACCTGATTTATGTTTCAAATTTGTGGTCACCTCATCAAATTCAGATTTGTCAATTTCCCAGGCAAGAGGTAGCTTGCCCAGGCTACTGGATAAGTTTTCCAGGCTATTTTCTTCATTATAGATTATTTCTGATGCACTAGTCGGGATGCTAATATATCTTGATGAATTATTTCCAACAGATAGGGAGGTACTATCATGGAGGCAAGAAGAGTGTGCTGGATTTGGAGTTTTATAGACTGAGGTTGCCTGGTTGAGAAAGGCATAATCTGAACAGATAGCATAAATTTTTTCACGAGTATGAGTCACTGGACAACTCCATGGATAATGACCATCTCCTTTAGGACCCAAGGGTGCTCCTGAGCCACTTGTGCAGAAAGATTTTACAGCATCTTGTAGATTCTCTTCAGGAGACTTTCTTTCAGGTTTGTGCTGACCATTTTCAGAATCATTTGACCTTTCTGTTTCCACGTTAGGCATTGAATGAAACTATAAAATTTCTGCTACTAGGAAGAAGCTGCAACTCTTTCCGCCTTTTGAAGAACAACTTTGAAAACTGTCACATTCTACAAAACCATAAAAGCTGCAAAATGGATTCCTTAGAAGAGAGGGAAGAAAAAGAAAGATCAACAATCCACAGGACACACAAACAGCACTAAAAGTATATCAAATGTCACTCATGTGCCATCATTCAAAAAATATTTATTTTATAACTACTATACCCACATGGGGCCTTGGTGGCACAGTGATTAAGCACTTAGCTGCAAATCAGGTCAGCGGTTGGAAACCAGCTGCTCTGCAAGAGAAAGATGTGGCTATCTGCTTCAGTAAAGATTTAGTCTTAGCAACCCTATAGGCAGTTCTACTCTGTCCTACAGGGTTGCTAGTAATCAGAATGGTGTCAATGACAATGCAGTGGATTTATACTCACATGGGGGTCACCATGAGTCAAAATCGACAGGAACTAACAACAACATACCTACAGCGGTCCCTGAATAGTGCAAGCCGTTTGTGCTGACTGCTAACCTTAGGATGGCAGTTTGAACCCACTGAGCAATGCTGTGGAACAAAGGCCTGGAAATCTGCTTCTGTAAAGATTGTTGTTGTTGTTGTTATGTGCCATCGAGTCGGACCCAACTCATAGTGACCCCTCCTTGGGTTTCCGAGGCAGTATCACTACGGAAGTAGATTGCCCCATCTTCCTTCCAAGGAGTGGCTGATGGGTTTGAACCACCACCAAGAAAATCCTACAGAGTTCTACTCTGTAGCATATAGGGTACCCATGAGTCAGAATCCTAGCAACAGGATTTTTAGCTTATACTTTCAGTCATCCCACTTTCTGTCTTAAGAAAAAAGCTCTTTATTTTAAAGTAAAATAAATAAGGAATATTATTTTAAAAGTATAGGCAAAAAATACATAATGAACAATGATTATGTGCTTAGATCATCAAACAATAAAGAATTTAATTTTCTTAAATATCTGTCACCTGACAAAAAACAGGCAGGTTAATCTAGATAGTCACTACCTTCTGATCAGTTTCAGAGGAAAAATTGTTTTTCAAGTCTAAACTGATTTCCTGCTGGATTAAGACAGCAAAGTTTAAATAGCACCTAAGGGTATTCAAGGAAGCCAAAGATGTACATAAAAGGAAGTACCTGATGAATGCAATCATTGCAGGTAATCTAGGAGGCAACCTGACACAGGTGTCAGAGCAGAGAATGACGTTGGGAAAGGGCTCTGTTTCACAGGAACTTAGCCACAGAGCTGTACTTCTAGAAATTCAACCCACACTGTATGATCAAGTATGATTTTTATCAGTAATTATCTCTGCCCATTTACCTACTTAAACATTAAAATAAAAATAACTTTCATAGGTTGCAAAGTATGATTACAAAAAAATCAACATACAAATACTGAATGTTAACAGCAACCTATGACTACACCTATAAGAAATAATTCACGAAAAAGCATCTTGGTTATCCTGAATCTGTGAGAACAAAGTAACAAAGTACTGTAATTTAAGTAGTTCATGTCATTTAAGGAAGCAGAGCTCCATACAAGGGGGACTCTACAGATCATAGACAAAGATCAATTTCCCTTATTTTTAGAGAATGATTTCTCTCCATTTAAAACTTCCCAAAAGTGGTTTTTGTTGTTTAGTAATCTGTGCAGAGATTTAAGTTATCTCCAGGAGTGTGGCTGGGTAGATGTTCATTAATTACCACCAGAGATGCTTCAGTTCAGATTGGAAACTTTCTTTTTTGTGTGTATGTGTGTGTAAAGAAATTTTAGGAGCAGGTAGAGCAGCTCTCTAGACTAGTAACTTTTATGTTTTCTCCTTACTCATTTCATGGTCCAACAGTGATGTAGAAGAGGCAAAGGGAAACTCAGTACCTAAGGTGGTAGACCAAGCTCTTTTTTATTTTATTTATTTAGAGGATTCAGTTTCTCTGCTTCTTAGTAGATGTCCTAGAGTACCATTTTCTACTTCTTATCTGTTATCATCAAACCTTTCTTTCTCTAAAAGCCAGTGTAGTGATTAGAGATATTTGTGGTATTGAGGCTGTGTGGGTGGGTTATGAGTACAGTCAGGAATGAAAGACAGCATATGGTAATAATGAAGGCTACAGGAGAGTTAGATTTGGGGTGGGGAGAGGGGATAAAACTGTTCCAGGTTCTGCCCTTTCATATTTCCACCTCAAAATTAACTTCTGCGTTGACATAGCTTCCTTCCTCAAACTGAACGGAATATTGCCTGTCAAACCAGCTCTGTGTGGCAGACTGGGGATTTTATGAATTATGCTCATTAGAGGAGTATTCTTCTCAAAAGCACAGACTAAAATAAAACACTTCATTTGAGTATAAAAGTTGGGGCTGAGTTTCCTGAAAGCTAAAGACAAGGAAAACAGCATTAGTTCAACGAAAGGAAGTGTAGCAGTCTACTTTTGTTTACATTTTGGTTTGTTTTTATATTACGGTCACTGAACAAGAATGATTCATTTGCAATTTTACCAAAATATGTCGTCATCAACCTAAGGACTTATTTCACATTGTCAATAAAAACCAAGAGTAAATTTGTAGTAATAAGTAGCAAAATTTTCTCATTTGAACCATTTTTGATGGAAATATCACTTTGAAGATTTGTGTAATATTTATAGATTCTGTAAGTAAAATATATTAGAGGGAAACTGAAAAGCATTAAAAGCACTAAAATCTCATTACCCAAACAGCTCCTCTTTCCTTCTATACTGAATGTCTGACTCATGTCTACCCTTCCCAGTACAATTAAACACTATAAGGTCAGGGATCAAGTGTGCTTTGCTTACTGTTCACGCTCAGTGCATTGCTCAGATCTCAGCTTTCTTGAACTAAGCATAATTTATTACTAATAAAAAATCATGGATCAATTAATCTATTATATTGTAATCACAGGCTCAGGAAATAATGATAGAGATGGGTAGTTTACCCCTCCAATAAACAGCCTGCAGCTTATACAGCCTTGTCACATCTTGTATCTCCTTTGTCCCTATTTTTATAAACCATTAACAATTCCATTTACCGTCCTAACTCTCCCCATCCACCCTCATGTCTTGCTATTGCTAATCTGCCCTCTGCATGGATATTAGAAAACAAAGCTTACTAAATACATTTAATCATATAACTCCCCTGCTTAAAACCGCTCTGCTCTTAGAGCAAAATTTCAACTCCTTGTCTAGCCCCATGAACTACCTTTTAAACTCCACCACATCTCACTATCTCCCCTTTCCCTCTAGATTCAGGTACACTGACCTCCTTTTGGTTCTTTGAATGCTTCCCTCTCCCACTCACTCCCCTTTACTTAGTTAATTGCCATTTATCCTTCAGAGCTCTGGTCACCTTTACCTTGGGAAAGGGGGGGGCATTCTTTGCTGCTCAAACAAGGTAAGGTCATCCTGTATACATATATACTATATATACTTAGGTACCTTTCCTTCACAAGTTTTAACCCAGTGCCATAGTCAATTCCAACTCATAGCAACCCTATGGGACAGAGTAGAACTGCCTATAGGGTTTTCAAAGTTTAAACGTTTACTGAAACAGGCTGCCACTTCTTTCTCCATGGGAACAGCAGCTGCTGAGTTCCAACTGCTGACCTTTCAATTAGCAGCTGATTGCTTAACGACTGTGCCACCATGGCTCCTCTCACAAGTCTTGTTGTTGTTGTTGTTATGTGCTGTCAAGTTGAACCCGACTCATAGCGACCCCTCCTTGGGTTTCTGAGGGCCAGTATCACTACGGAAGTAGATTGCCCAACCTTCCGAGGAGTGGCAGTGGGTTTGAACTGCCAGCCTAAGTCCTACTAGGGTGCAATTTTACATTTATGCGTGATTGCATGAACTTCCTGCAAGTCTGGTTTTGATGACTATTGTATCCCTAAGTGGGGTCTTGGTGATGCAGTGGTTAAAGGTTTGACTGCTAACCAAAAGGTGGTTCAAATCCACCAGCCTCCATAAGGCACTCCGGAAAGATGTGGCAGCCTGCTTCCTTCAAGACTACATCTTTAGAAACCCTATGGGGCAGTTCTACTCTGCCCTATAGGGTCACTAAGGGTCACCATCAAGTGGACTGCAAAGGGTTAGGTTTGGTTGTAGCCCCAGGGCCTAGCATTTGAAGTCATTTCATTTAACAAATAGTTAATAGCCTACATCATGCCAGGCACTATATTATAGGCAATGAAAACCCAAACTCACTGCCATCTAGTTGATTCCAACTCATACTGACCCCCTTTGGGTTTCTGAGGCAGTAAATTTTTATGGAAGTAGATTGCCCTGCCCGGTATTCCTTCCCCCGAGTGGCTGGTGAGTTTGAACCGCCAACCTTTTGGTTAGCAGTCAAATGCCTTAGGCCCTATGCCACCAGAGCTCCTTAGGCAATGATTAGGAGTCTAAGTTTATTTAGGAATCCCTCCTGGTTCTCACCTGAAGGTAAGCGAGTTATTGTTATATTGAAAGTTACTGCTAAGAATTATTGAAGGACTTAAGTCTCACCTTGATTTATTCATAAAATCCTGTCACTACCAATAGAAATATTTTTTTAAATTATGCTTATACGTAAGACAGAATTTTATAAAATGACAAGCCTTAAGTGCTCCACTGGAGTAAACGATTTACAGAAGTCCTCAGAATGAATTATTCTGTAGAATAAATGTTCCATTTTTAAAGACAGCTTGTATATTTTTTAGGTTATATTTTAAGTCCATATTTTTAAGTATCTTAGAGAAGTAAACATTTTTTAAAAATCTGCCTTCCACATATGACAACTATTATTACATATTCTTACAGAAAACAACTGAGGTACAGGGTCAGTTAAGGACCAAGGACGAATACTCTCTCCAAGGGCAAGACCAAGAACCCATGAGACCCCAAGTGTTCTTCCCTCAATTCTTCCCAACCAATCCCCACCCTCGCCCTCCAAACCTCTTTTCTTCACCGGCATACCGAAGCCCCTCTCCCGAGAGAAGCCGCCAGCCTACGAAAGGATACCGGGGTGAGCCCAGTGCATCACGCGAGGATCAACCCCAAGCTTCAGCGGAAGCGAGGAGAGTGCCGCACCTCTGAGAAGATAGCGGCGCGGCCGCAGCGCGGCCAGGCTAGGAGACCGCTGGAGCAAGAAAACCAAAGGCGGCGCAGGCCGCTCGCCGCCAACCTAGTGCAGAGAAAACGCCAGTTCGGCGATGGCTGGCTGTGCCCCCGCCCCGCGCCTCCCTCCCGACGGCGGCGCACCGCCAGCGAGCCGCGGCCTGGGCGCCCTTGCCGCGCCCCCACCTCACTTCCCGGGAGGCGGGCCGAGTTACCTCACTGGAATGAAGGACCCACTAAGGCCTCTTTCACTCCCTCCCTTCCCGGCCGGAAGAGGGAGTTCTACGCGAGAGGGAAGAGGCGGAGGCAGGGGTGGGGAGGTTAGGGGCAGAATTTCCTTGAATCCGCCAGGGGTATGCTCCCAGGCGGTAAAGTTGCCTGGGCGGGTGTGACTAGAGGAGAGTTACAGCACCAGGGTGAAGAGAGAAGCCCCGGATTCAGGCTTTTTAATAAACGATTTGCTATCGTTAATAAGGATAATTGCAACAATTAAAATATAAAACTCCTGCCTTGGTTTCCGGCCGAGCCTGCTTTGGATTACGGAGCCAGCCACACAGCCCTACACGGGCTGTGTTTTTCGGGCAGCTGACGAGGGCCAGAGATAGGAGAGGGAGGCGGCGGTTTCGGGTCCAATTCCGGAGCTGACCCGGAGGTGTTCTGCGGCCTGCTCGCTCTGCAACCCCTTCTAGTGACAGCCCTGCCTGGTGCGGGCGTGTGGGGGCGAGGGACCGCCACTGTGTGCTCCGTGCTAGAGGCCTTGTCGGGTCTGGCTTGAAGACGGGCGCGTGGACAGGAATCCCCAGTATTCACAGGATTGACCCGGGCCCTCCAAATCGAGCTGTGTCCTTAAGTGGACTCGTCTTTTCTTTTCCACTCTGCAGCCTAAGCTCTGGAGATCTGGACTTGGCGTTTCCCCTTACTTCTTGCCGGGGAGGAAGAACACAAATGCAATAGCCCTCCCTTGGGACAGCCAAAGGGCTCCGAAGAGGAGGTGACCCCTCAACAACCCAGGCGGGGTTTGAGGACCTAACAAGGAATGCGACTTCAGGCACGGCCAGCTTGCACCCCCAGCTTGCCCTGCGGGGGGCCGGGCACGCAGAGCGCGCTCCCAACTGGCCGCGCCTCGGACCCTGCCCACAGCCCGGGGGTACCTCTGCTGCCAGTCCGGCGCGGATGGGTCTTTGCGGTTGCACCAGAGCCAAGCACGGTCCGGGGACTAGGGCTTCCAGCCTGTGGATAGTACACCGACCCCGCCCGCGCCGCGCCGCCAGTTATCCAAGCAAGCCAGGATAGCACCCTAGAATGGTCGTGCCCAAGCATCAGCTGACAGATAACATTTTACAAAACATTTTTTTCATCATATTTTATACCTGCCCTCTGCTTGTGTGGAGGATATGGTGACCAAAAATAAAATCTTAGCTGTGCCTTCAGACCTACGTGCCTCTCTATTGAGTATCTGTAGTACTATCCGTGCATCGAAACAGGTCGTTGAAAAGTAAATAAATCAGTGAGAGCTGGGTAAAATCTGGCAGGATTTCCGCCACTTCAGTCGCGAACTACAAATCCCAAGAAGCCCACCGCGCCCCAGACGCGTGTCCACTCCGCCGTCCACTTGGAGAAGGCCTTACTAAGCTTAGCCCTGACACTCGGGCCAATCGCCTTATCTTTCACCTTGGTTTGGAACCTGAGTCGGATTCGCCCCAAAATGATGTTGCCGTTGCAGAACTAACAAAAGTTTATCTTCCTCTCACAGAAGAGGAGCAGCGTGGTTCTTGTCCTTTTCAGCAGACCTACTGGCATCCTCAACCTGAACATGTCAACCCTCCGGTTGTGATTTTCCTGGAGTAAAGTGGAGATCTGCATGCTTGCTCTTTGCACATTAAGCGACACTTCTGCCAGCTGTGTTTGCTGCGGTGATTGGCAAGCTTGATCCTGTCGAAGCCACGGTCGGTCCTGTCTACATCCTACACGTTTTTCTTTATCCGTAAATCATTTCGACAGTACGTGTTGTAAATGTTCAGCATTTTGCTGGTTTACTGCTTCTTTCTGGGAACAATTCCAGCGCTTGCCGGAACCGGCGGAGAGCGGCAACTGAGCCCTGAGAAGAGCGAAATATGGGGACCCGGGCTAAAAGCAGATGTCGTTCTTCCCGCCCGCTATTTCTATATTCAGGCAGTGGATACATCAGGGAATAAGTAAGTCGAGAAACGGCGCCCTAATCGTTTTGTATTGCTGTAAAAAGCAATTTTAAAGGAAAATGTTTCTGTTCAAGAACTCCTTTCTCCATAGCAATTCCAATCCTTGGGTATTTGGGTGCCATCCACATTTGGTTGTGCCAGTCTCCCCTGTCTGGATCAAATTTTCACGATAGCTTTAGAAATAATTCCGAGATGGCTCTTGGCTATTTTGATAGCGACTCCTACATTTCCAGGGAAAAACAAAGCCCCTCCACTTTGCTGAAAGTACTATTTCTAATTTATTTTTGCATAAACAGTTATAAGGAACTTACATCCAATAGTTGGAGCTCTGGTCACTTGACTGCTAACCAGAAGTCTGGCAGTTCAAACCCACCAGCCACTCCTCGGAAGGAAGATGGGGCAATCTACTTCCGTAGTGATACTGCCTCGGAAACCCAAGGAGGGGTCGCTATGAGTCGGGTCTGACTGGACGGACATAACAACAACAACAACAGTTAGATACAGGGTTGGTTATCTGACTCTGGTGCTGTCCTCTGTTTTCAGGTAGACATCTACAGGTAAGCATATTTTAAAACTCAAGGAGAAAAATGAAGCATTATCTGAAACTTTAGCGATTGGAAGGAAGCAGCAAAGTATGACTCTCTTGTGTTTATAACAGGTTTGTTTACTTCTGATAAGTTCAATATGTTAAAATTGTACTAAAAATTTGATTTTATAAATCGCACACTTCTGAAATAATTGCCTTTTTATTGATAAATATCGACCATGTCTCTTTGGTATAAAACAAATCTTAGGAATAATACATTTCCAAAGCAAAAAAAAAAATAGAAAGTTTGTAAATTTTGTCGCTTGGCTATAAAGAGTACGCTTGGGAAAACTAAATACCATATCAATGGGAAGAGTACTCATTCCAACAAAAATAAACATACTGTGTTCTTAGGATGACAGTCCAGCCATATTCCAAAGCTGAGCATGATTTTAAGAATCATTTAGCTAAATTTCACAAAAGAACATCATTATCTTTGGAGGCACCGTTTGATCACACATTTCCAAATGTGATGGGCATGAAATAAATAATAGGTTGATAAGGAAATTTTAATATATGGAAAGTGTAAGTATGTTTTATAATTACATAAATTAATAGGTTAACATTCCTTTGTGATTTTCTAATGATACTTGACTTTTTTTTTTAATCCCTACAATCCATCATATTCGTTCTGACATTAAAATCATAAGAGAGCAAACAAGCATACGGTAGGAGGAAAATACCAAGCATATGGTAGAGTTCTCAGACTGGAGATCATAATTATGAGTTTGTCCTTAATATAATGTATATTTATATTTTATCGTTTCCCATCACAGATTCACATCTTCTCCAGGCGAAAAAGTATTCCAAGTTAAAATCTCAGCACCAGATGAGCAATTCACTAGAGTTGGAGTCCAGGTTTTAGACCGAAAGGATGGATCCTTCATAGTAAGATACAGAATGTATGCAAGCTACAAAAATCTGAAGGTAGAAGTTAAATTTCAAGGTCAGCATGTGGCCAAATCTCCATATATTTTAAAAGGTAAATCGGGATGTAATTTTAAAGCAAAAGTATTTGCATACAATAACAGATATTATTCCATCTGCAAAAATAACAGCATGTATTTTTGGAATATTTTTCTCCTACTTAAAGAAAAAGTAGAAGTTCTTTATTTGTAAGCTAAACTGAGTCCTGGTAAAAGAGAGGAATTCAAATTTTGGACAGAAATTATAATTGTCTAAAGAAGAATGAACATTAATAGAGAATTTTCTCCCTTTAGGAAGAACATTAGTGAGACCAATCAATGTATATATGTATGGCCATATATGACACTTTTAACTGCAAGTGTAACTAATAAGTGTTACTGAAATTTGGTAGCTCACTTCAGGAAGGAAAAGGACTAGAAGCAGAGCTAGTGCAATGTTGCCTGTTGTTTCCACCTTCCTTCCAATACCATTGATTCCAGAGAATTCTTTGTTTTCTTATGTGGCATGAGAGGATAGCTTTGTTACCTAGAGCCATATCCTCCCCTCTCAGAGGAAACAGCACCAAAAGAACAGTGGAGAAATAGTGCTCTAGAAGAGAGGCACAAATCTTCCTCCTCCCCTCAAGAAAAGTAGATACTTTTAAAAGTGTCTAGATTCCTTTTTCCTACATTCCATCAGGATCACATGGTATAGTATAACCTGATAAACCTTAAAGGGGCCCTGGTGGTGTAGTGCATAAGGCATTTGACTGCTAAACAGAAGGCTGATGGTTCAAACCCACCAGCCACTCCTCAGAAGGAAGATTGGGCAATCTACTTCCGTAATGATACCGCCTCAGAAACCCAAGGAGGGGTCTTTTGAGTCGAATTGGCTCCATGGCAGTGAGTTTGGTTTTTTGTTTGTTTGTTTGTTTGGGAAACCTTAAAAAGATACTACATTTTCAACTAGTGCTTGGGTCAGATGGGAATCTGAGAATTATGGAAAAGAATGACAATAAAATCCCAATTCAGATTGTACTATATTAGTGTTATTTCTATAAACATAAAATTAACTCATTTAGAATAGTAATGAAATGGACTGTCTTGGGGATTATTGTCTTTATAATTCTTTTTTTAAAAAATAGCAAACATAGTATTTGTTATGTGTTTCAAGTTGATGATGATTTATCATATTGAAAAGTACCTTAGACATTTTTAGAACCTGTTTGTATAATAGATCATTTTTCAGTGAAGGTATTAATTTCACATCATTTTTGTCTTTCATTAAAACAGGCCTACTCCTCTGACATCCTTTTATCAGTGTTTGCTTATTCCTAAGTACTTAAAATATTAAAATATTTAAATAATAATGAAATACAATATCTACTATTGTAAACTATTGTTTTCTCTTAAAGGAGCCCTGGTGGCATAGTAATTAAAATGCTCAGCTGCTAACTGAAAGGTCAGAAATTTGAACCCACCACCCACTCTGGGAGAAAGATGTGGCAGTCTACTTACATAAAGATTTACAGCCTTGGAAACCCTATGAAGCATTTCTCCTCTGTTCTATAGGGTCACTATGAGTACTAGTCAGGTCGACAGTAGTGGGTTGATTTGGTTTGGTGGCTTTCTTTTAAGTTCATACAAAGTGGGCCCAATTAGGAAAATATCACAAGATGTCACTATGAAGATCTGTCACGGTAGAAGGCTAACTTACTAGTGATTGCCAATGTAATGGAAAATTTCTATTTTCATCAAAATACTCATCCTATCTTAGGCCAAATCTTGTGGGTCCGTATGATAAATATTTGTTATGTATTTCCAGCGTTGAGTGAAATTGTTACTGCTAAACATCATTAATTGTATGTAATTAGGGCCGGTTTACCATGAGAACTGTGACTGCCCTTTGGAAGATAGTGCAGCCTGGCTACAGGAGATGAACTGCCGAGAAACTATTACTCAGATTCAGAAAGATCTGGCACATTTTCCTACTGTTGATCCAGAAAAGATTGCAACAGAAATCCCAAAAAGATTTGGACAAAGACAGAGCTTGTGTCACTATACTTTGAAAGATAACAAGGTATTTGTTTTAGTTGATTTTTTTTGAACATTTGGATATAACTAGCTAAATAGTTTTATTAAAAACCATTCTAATGAGGATCACTGTGACAAGCCTTTCTTTAGTGAAGCCTGTCAGTACTTTTAGACTAATGTAGATGTAAATTATCTTTAGGTTTACATCAAGACTCATGGTGAACATGTAGGTTTTCGAATTTTCATGGATGCCATACTACTTTCTTTGACTAGAAAGGTAAGTATATATTGTTTCCTAGTTAAACAATTTCAGCCCACGTTTTACAATGTACTTTGTCAAAATAAAAATAATAACCATATCAATGGTTTTCTGTTCTAGAGTCTCATAATACTGCTCTGAATGTTTATGTCATGTAAGATACCTTATAGAAGAAAATACCTGATAATAAAATTAATTTTGATACTTAGCCTACATTGAGTCCAAAAAAGGTTTGCCTTATTCTGAATCACGTTTCTTGGTACAATGTACTTTAGCAGGGTTCTGGTAGAGTACTTCAACAGTAATATTAAAATGACATATGGAAACCAATATTCTTACCAATTGTGCAATAGCTATTTATCAAATAATCATTATTTGTGTCTTGATTGAATTACACATTGAAAATAGTAGTTTCTTCTCAAGGTTGCAAGGTGTTTCAGTCAGTGAATTCTGAATGTAGGTAACTCATGGCATCAATTATCATGCCTCTTCAAGCTGAGATACCAGACTGCTGGCAAATTTTACTTGATTATCTCTGTCAGTCCATAAAAAAGAGAAATGTTCTTCAGGACTCTGGTTTTTCAAGATTCTTCACAGACTGACCAACACAGTTCTTGCCTAAAATATAAATCTCTTTTTATACAAACACTCCAGGCATTTTTCATGGCTAGCTAAAAGAAGTTGTTTCAACACGTTCATGTAATTTGTCTGTAGAGCAACATAGGTTGGAATTTAATAGTGCTGGCTTTGGTGTTGAGCTTCCTGCAGTTAAATCCTATCCCCACTGTCTACCAGGTGTATGTTTTTGAAATGGAAGCATCTGGCTCATTAATAAAAAATTATAATTAGAGTCCCAAGTGCTATTCTTTGTAATTATTTTCCTTTCACTCTTGGATCACTTTAAAGTCTCTTGGCAGTATTAGAGTAGAGGTTACTTTTGCCATTTCTTCCCTTCTGTAGCAAATACATTGGTCAATTGGGCACTATATTCTGAAAAGTTGCCCACTCAGGTAATTATCATTACCTAAAGCTAGTAAAGTTGGCCTTTCATTTGGTGGTAATTTCTAATTTAATTGATAAATGCAAAATATTCTCCAATGAAACGTGAATAAACTTTGTTTTCTTTTTCCTAGGTGAAGATGCCAGATGTTGAGTTTTTTGTTAATTTGGGAGACTGGCCTTTGGAAAAAAAGAAATCCAATTCAAACATCCATCCTATCTTTTCCTGGTGTGGCTCCACAGATTCCAGAGATATCGTGATGCCTACATATGACTTGACTGACTCTGTTCTAGAAACCATGGGCCGGTGAGAGACAGATTACAGTTGACCCAGAGCGTTGGTTTTCTTTCCTTGGTGAGTTCTTTTCTAACAACATTTGTGATGTGAAGGTTTGGGAGGAAAATCTGTTGCACTTTCTGTCTTCTAGAGTAAGTCTGGATATGATGTCTGTGCAAGCTAACACGGGTCCTCCTTGGGAAAGCAAAAATTCCACAGCTGTCTGGAGAGGGCGAGACAGCCGCAAAGAGAGACTCGAGCTGGTTAAGCTCAGTAGAAAACACCCAGAACTCATAGACGCTGCTTTCACCAACTTTTTCTTCTTTAAACACGACGAAAGTCTATATGGTCCTATTGTGAAACACATTTCATTTTTTGATTTCTTCAAGGTAGGACATAATCAGTGGACAATCTTTTTTTTTTTGTTTTTCCACATATCTTCATTTATGTGAAAATGGCACTTTGGGGGAGGGAAGTTGAGACCTATAAATTATAGAGACTAGAAGAGGGAAGCATAAAACTTGGTGAATATTAAGGGATGGGAGTCCCTAGGCTTGATTTGGAAACCCGGCACTGTTATCAGTACCCAGCACTAATATTAAATACATATTAAGGGCATTTGGGACCTGGGTAGGGTGATAATTTTTTTTCCAACTAATTCTCAAGATAAACAAATTTCATCTCTAAATCCTCTTTTGTTAATAAGTACATGTAAGTCATTTTACAAATACTTTTCTCTAGAACTATAACAACACAACATACTAAATATGCTATAAATCAGGTGTCTCTTTTCAGGCCTTCTGGTGGAGGAATAAATTGAAACCCAAACAAATATTTTGCCTGAGATTTCTGGAAAAAAGGGATAAATTTCTGTGTTTGTGAATTGCTCATGCTCTAGGGAGGACACTTTTTTCTGAACTCCATTTTTCAAGCAGGAGCACTACCCTGCTTGCTAGATCATTGAGTGGTTTTTGAAGCCCCATATAGTTGAGAGGAAGGAGGACAAAGAGTCTTTAGTATATTATAACACAAGTGATTAGCGTGCTCTCCGTCCTGTACATGGTTGGATTTTCTTTTGATTAAATGGAATACAGAAAACTTAATGCCATCAAATCAATTCCGGCTCATAGTGATCCTAAATGACAAAGTAGAACTGCTTCATAGGGTTTCCAAGGCTATAGATCTTTATGGAAGCAGACTGCCTCATCGTTCTCTCAAGGACCAGCTAGTGGGTTTGAACTGCAGACCTTTTAGCTAGCAGCCCAATGCTTTAACCACAGTGCCACCAGAGCTCCTTTATATATGGATTTAAATAATGCCATAAATTGTCAATATTTTTTCTATATGCATATTTCAAAGATTTTTGAAAGAAATGGCTATATCCAAAGAGAGCTGGTAGAGAGCCTGCCTCCTCACAGGTGTGTTCTATGATTTCTTTGCTTTAGTCCCACCTGTTCCATTTTCTACAGCTAAAGATTATTGATTATTGCAGTTCTATGAATGTCTTTATTCACAGATGTTCTTGCCATAGAGCTTGTTAATTTCCTTAAAATGTGTGTAGCCATCTGGTGTTAAAAATATACAGTTAACATGGCACAGAATGTGACATCATTAAGTTTGCACTTGTACTTAATAAAGTAGCAGAGGAGTTACAAAGTCAAAACTAAATATATCTTTCCTTATGTTGTAGCCTTGGGAGAACAATTTTATTATTTTATTGCCTGCTTCACTGTTAGAATTGTTGTCTCCTTTGTGGTATTTAACTCACTGCCATGGAGTAGGGGAAGGTGAAAATGAATATTTAGCTCTAGATCAACATGTTACATGATAACACTTAAAAAGGCAGAGAGCAAAACCTGACCAGTTTGTATCTGGGTGTGGTGAGGGTTCATATGTGGTAAGAGGAGGAAGACAAAGAAAATGGAATAAAGGAAATTTAATTGAGGTTTTTATACCTTACTGCTTGTTTTGCAGCATAAGTATCAAATAAATATTGATGGCACTGTAGCAGCATATCGCCTGCCATATCTACTGGTCGGTGACAGTGTTGTGCTGAAGCAGGACTCCATCTACTATGAACACTTTTACAATGAGCTGCAGCCCTGGAAACATTATATTCCAGTTAAAAGCAATCTGAGTGATCTCCTAGAAAAACTTAAGTGGGCAAAAGATCATGATGAAGAGGTAAGGTCAGTCTCCTAGAAGGTACTTTGCTTACACTGTTACACTCACACCCATTGCCACTGAGTTGATTCCAACTCATAGCAAGCCAATAGGACAGAGTAGAACTGCCCATAGGATTTCTAAGGCTGGAAATCTTTCCAGAAAGAGATTGCCACACTTTTCTCCCACTGAGCAGCTGGTGGGTTTGAACCACTGACTTTACAGTTAACAGCTGAGAGCTTAACCACTGTACCACTAGGGCTTCTACATTGTACTGGTACCCCAATATCAGGTTCATTTTTAAAGTCTTGTACTTGGGACTCTTTTAAGATCTTCAGATAAAGAATCTTACGTCTCAATGGGAAGCCACCTTCCTATGGAATAAAATCACATTAATTCTCCTCAGAGTGAACACAGGCATTGGGTCTTAGATTAAACTGTCCACTATGCATATGAAACAAAATACTAAACTTTTATTTTGATTTGCTCTCTCTTTGAGTCAGGTTGTTCTGAGCCTCAATCATTGCCCTTAATAGCAAATTTGAAAATTAAGATGGAAAATTCTGTCAGGAAAAGTAATTAGTTATGCTATGGGTTGTGATAAGGGATTTCATGAAACTAACACTCAGGCTAAGTGTCTCCTGAACATTGTTAAAAAGGCAGAGAATTAAGCATCATCTTGCATTTACATTACTCAATATATACATTTTCTCTCTAAGACAGGCTTAATCCTTGAAAGTTTTTTACTCAGTTCTGTTCTACTGTCCAATATAACTTCTCAAACTTTACAGTCTTAAAACCTCTCTTTGATTTGGACAAAAGTTAGGTTGAATATTCCCATTATCACATCAGACTATCCCGAAAGATAACTTTTCCATTATTGTCCCATTATGTAGGTGTGCTTATATTTATATATAAAATAAACAAGTAGAATAATTAAATTATAAAAATATATTTTATATATAGTATTCATTTACTCTCAGGGTCAGTTTGCATGTATCTGTTTATTAGGTCCTAGTGCCAACATAATAAATTACCACAAAATGGTCGGCTTAAAACAAGAGAAGTTTTTTTCTCTCACAGTTCTGGAGACTAGAAGTCCAATTCAGGGTATTATCAGGGCCATGGTCTCTCTGAAGACTGTAGGGGAAGATCCTGCCTCATTTCTTCTAGCTTATGGTAGCCCCGGGCATTCCTCAGCTTATGGCCACATAACTCCAGTCTCAGCCTTCGTGGTCATGGTGTTCACCCTTGTGTGTCTTTTATCTTCTTTTTATAAAGACACCAGTCATGTTGGAATTGAACCTTCCCCCCAACTCCACTATAATCTTATGTTAACTAATTATATCTACAAAAGCCCTATTTTTAAATAAAATCATATTGTTGTTGTTGTTGTTGTTATTGTGGCTGTTATGTGCCATCAAGTCAGACCTGACTCGTAGCAACCCCTCCTTGGGTTTCCGAGGTGGTATCACTACAGAAATAGATTACCCAACCTTCCTTCCGACATATTTTTTTTGGCAGATACAATTCAAGTTGGGTCTGGGTGGGAAACACTCTGTTTCGTTAAAGATTTGTCTTTCCCTTATAGGCAAAGAAAATAGCCAAAGCTGGACAAGAATTTGCAAGAAATAATCTCATGGGTGATGACATATTTTGTTACTATTTCAAACTTTTCCAGGTGAGTGTTTTCCAAGAAAAAAAAAATATATAACTTGCAGTTGGACATGTCCTCAGGAACAAATAATATTTCCCTTAATTTCTGAAAGTATATTAAGGTGAGGAGATATAAGTACACCTCTGAATGAAAATCGGGGACAAATATGAAATACTAATTAAAAAATTATTGTAAAGCAAAGATTAACTAGTGGAGAAAACTATAACATCAAGTGAAAAGTATTATTGTTAGAACTGTGTGGTATATAGGAGTCCTGGTGATGCAGTGGTTTAAGCTCTTGGCTGCTAACCAAAAGGTGGGCAGTTTGAACCCACCAGCCTCTCCCTAGGAGAAAAATGTGACAGTCTGCTTTTGTAAATATTTACAACCTTGGAAACCTTATGGGTCAGTTGTACCTGTTCTGCAGTGTCACTATGAGTGGGAATTGACTTGATGGCAACGGTTTTGGTTTTTGGTTTATGTGGTATATTGTTAGAAAAGTGATATGTAATCCTGCAGAGTTACTGTGCATGGATTCATGTTGTTCTCTTTATACAGTATTCCTCCTGCCTTACCAAGTGTTTGTCTGAACAGTGCAAATTATGTTTGGACCTGTTGTGCTGACCCCAGATGAACCATGATTTGTCTTGGATGTTGTTTTTCATGGACCTAACCATGTAGGAATTGTAATCAAACATATCTGACAATTTAAAAGACTTTAAAATAGAATTCAGTAGTAATAAACAAGTATTTGCTAATAATGGCACCAGATCTAGATTAAGATTTTTATCTCGGAATTACAGATATTGAATCTCATATTTTAAGTTCTGTTGTAGAATAGAGTTGGCTTATTTATGATCTACATTGGGCTTCCCATTTTTTAACCTTCTCTAAGGGATGATATAAGGGTAGACAATGAATTATATCAAGTGAATAAACCAGGAGGAATTACTTCTTGAGTGTCTATAGCTCTATATGATAGTACTCACTCGTTGAACTAATGTTTACTGAACCTAAGTACACAGCATAGTTCCTAACACAAACTAAGCACATAATAAATGAAGATGATGATTGAGTTTGTGCAAGCAATGGTGGAGGACTATAGTCTCTGTCCTCAAATTGTCAGGGAAGATTGTATCCACACTTATTTTCATTGTGAGACACAAGGTGGTTAAAACAATAGGAGTCACATAAATTCAGGATGGAATAAGGAGAATTCTGTTAGGAATTCAAAGGTAAGCTGCCTCTCAGAAGCTCTGTATTAAAGGGAAATGGATAATTTTAACTATCACAAACTTGAAATATATAAGTTAACTGAACCTCATGATAGCAAATTTTAGAGTATCTAATTTGATACATACTTAAAGCATTGTGTAAGGAATGCTTTGGTATTGTTTCCATAGGCATATGCCAATATACAAGTGAGTGAACCCAAAATCCGAGAGGGCATGAAGCAAGTAGAGCCACAGACTGAGGATGACCTCTTTCCTTGCACTTGTCATAGAAAAAAGGTAACCAGATCTGACCTCTAGTCAATGTCCAAGTAAGAACAAACATTTATCTAAAAGCATGTTCATCCCTTTCATCATTCAATTGGTCAAGAAATATTTGAGTTTCTCCTGGGACCTCCAAGGAATTCAGTCTACCAGAGAGACAGATGTAATAGATAATAACAATGCAAAAGAAAGGGTGCTAAAATGCACCTAAGTGAGAAGACGTAGTAGCTCCCAGCAGAGTTGAAGAAAGTCTTTTTTAATGTAAGAATACAGATCACATGGTATTCATATCCATGTGTATCATCTGCTATCCTCATCACTCTGTGAAGTAGGTTTGGCAAATTTCATTATCCCAATTTAGAGATGAATAAACATAGAACCATGATTATTCATTTTATCAGGTTATTCATTTAAAAGCAATCTCTGTTAATACCCCACTACATTACAGTTTCATTTACAAAAGTCAGTTTTACATATGCACTTATAAGGCTAAAAAGGATCTAAGAGATTATCTAGTAAACACCTTCATTCACCAGTTAAAGTCAGTAACAAAACAGGAATTACCAAAGTTGAAAGGTACTCCCTCACAAAGTTAGTGATTTGGTATCAGAATATCTGTCTTGATACTAAGGACCCTGCATAGGTTCTCTTCTCTACTGCTGTGGTGGCATAATGCCTAAGTCATTTGCTAACCAGAAGGCTGGTGGTTCAAACCCACCAGCCACTTCTCAGAAGGAAGACTGGGCAATCTACTTCCATAGAGATACCGCCTCAGAAACCCAAGGAGGGGCTGCTATGAGTTGGAATCAACTCTATGGCAGTGAGTTTGAGTAAGTGATTTTGAGGAGGTACCATATCAGAGTATTTTCTAGTCATTAGAAGTTAGGGGCCAGAATGATAGCTTTGTTTATTTCTTATTCATTGTCTACTCTAGCCCTTCACTACTACCATTCATAACACAAAGCTCTTTACAGTAATGTAAGTCCTTAAATGTTCAAGTTTCACATGAAACACAGTATGATTTTACCCTTGGGTGATTTTGATCCTATAGAACTAGTCCTAAGTTGTAAAAGCCTTTAACAGTAACTTGGCTTTTTTGCTTATTCATCTGTAAGTGGAAAATAATAGATTAATGTCATAGTCATATAAGACTTCTTGATGGCTCTAAATATTTTGCTTCTTAATTGCAGACCAAAGATGAACTCTAATATGGAAAATACCTTCCATTCAGACCATGGTGCTCTGAAGACTCTTCTTAATTGAAAAGAAGAAGAATGTTTTTTAAATAGTAATTCCACAGACAATATAAAATCTTCTGTGTGTATTTGGACTTTTAGGAAATGTATCTTCTTATGCAGTATTCCCATGACGCTTCTTAAAACACACATTTAGAATTTTATAATAAAACCACCTTTATTTTAAAGTCCTTTGTTTTGCTAATTATTAGCTATGTTTAGACCATAATCCATTGCCATCAAGTCGATTCTATCTTATAACAACCCTACAAGACATAATAGAACTGCCTCATAAGGTTACGAAGGCTGTAAATTTTTATGGAAGCAGACTGCCATGTCTTTATTCCATGGAGCGGCTATGAGTTGTAATCAGCTCAATGGCAGTGTGTTTGGTTTGGGTTTTGAATATAATTGAGAGAGATTACACATTTATGGATTGGCAAGATCAATGCTATCAAGATGGCAATTCTCTCCTGAGGAGATTTACAGATTCAGTGTAATCCCCATCCAAATACATACACACACATCTCTTTTCTGTGGAACTTCACAAACTTTTTCTAAATAATTATAAATAAAGTACCAAGGAGCTCTTGTGGCATAGTACCTAAGGTTGACGGTTCAAACCCATCAGCCACTCTGTGGAAGAAAGACTGGGCAATCTACTTCTGTAAAGATTTACTGCCTGGGAAACCTAAAGGGGGGTCGCTGTGAGTTGGAATCTACTTGATGGCAGTGAGTGTGAGTTTGCTTTCTTTCTTTCTTTTTCTTTTTTTTCTGAACAAAGTACCAAGAATACTCTTGAGGAAAGATGAGTTAGGAGGACTTTCTCCATTTACTTATATATCAAGACTTCTTAGAGAATTCCAGTGTTTAAAACCACTTGATACTGGTGCAGGAATGGAAAAAAAAAAAAAAAAAAAATAGAGCAGTATAAGAGTAGTGATGCATATAGAGGCAACAAAAGGCAGAACATAGTATTTGTAAATAGCAGATGCTTTCTGTTTTATATTTGTAATATAAACGTCAGCAACTAAAGTAGCAAACTAATTATTACTTCCTTCACTCAGGATCTGATAAAGCATTAGGCATTATAGACAAAAACTAGCAACTCCCAAAGTTTTCTACTACTATTCATTGCCATCCAGTCAAACTTGACTCATAGCACCCCTCCTTGGGTTTCCGAGGTGGTATCACTAGGGAAATAGATTGCCCAACCTTCCTTCGGAGGAGTGGCTGGTGGGTTTGAACCGCCAGCCTTCTGGTTAGAAGTCACATGCCTTAGGCATCATGCTACCAGAGCTCTTCCAAAAGTTTTAGAACATGTATTTTTCATTGTTCACTTGTTTCTTCACCCTGAGGATGATGCCATGTCAATTCATCACAGTGGCACTGCCACAAAGGGTTGTGTAATTCCTTGGGTCTCAAGTGGCACATTATTACAGTAGGAATTTCTCTCATGTGCATTGAAATAATCACAATCTCATTGTGATTTCTTTTGTGGTAAAAATAAAATGAGTAAGTGCTGACAGGATGGAATATATAACATATCCCAGTCATCCAAGTATTGATGAGACGAGGAGGTCTATCCTAGCTCCTTTTTATTGGGCTGACCCCAAACACGAGGAACAGTCCTATAGGAATTGGCGGGAACTGTGGCGCGCAAAGCAGAGGCGGGTTAGAAAACTCCCATTCCCGGCCTGCCCCGCGGCCCTGTTCGCGCGCCTTGGGGGAGGAGCCGGGACGCGCGTACGCTGTAGCGGAACGCGCTGGCCGGTGCGGCGAGGCGGTCGCTTCGAGCTTGGTAGTTTGCTCCCTGAAGGGAGTGAGGGCGGTTAGGTACACTCGGTCACTTTTCCCTTCTCTGGTAAGTGTGGCGGTGGCGGTTGAGGCAGCCTGGTTGGAGAATGGTTTTTTGAGGGAGTGGTGGCGCGCCTGCCGGCCCCGCCTTGAAGCGTTTCAGGCTCGCGTTCTGCGCCCCTTTGGGGCTGTTGGTCCGGATCCGCGAGGCTTTCTGAGTTTGTTTGATGCCCATACGAATTAGGAGGGCGGAGTGTAGGGAGGAGTTTAGACTCGGAGTGGAGAACAGGTTCAGCATTTATATCCACTGACTGGATCTAAAGAGCCTCGTAAATTTGAGAGATTCGATCTCGGGCCCCTCAGGAATGACCCACAGCATAGCCCTGGCACATAGACATTTGTTAAATGAATGGAAGAGTGAATAAATAGGATTCGCAAGTGCCCCTTAGTTAATCACAAATTCCTATGAGACATCATTTTGAAATTTTACTTTCATTAATTGATGGTGTTTTTTTACCCGTCCAAATTACAGACTTTCTGGAAGAATCGAACTCTCTTAGAATCTGTTTGTCCCATGACTTCCAACATAATGGTGTAAGTGTAGTAGATGATGCTTTTAAAAACTTTTAATTGTAGGTTAAAGTGCAGATGGCATTTTGATTCCTTAGCGTGAAATGTAATCTCTTACTCTGTTCCAAACATTAAAAGTAGTAATAAAAATAATTAACGCTTGCAATGGAACACTACTAAAAACAATACATATATTATCATTTACTTATCACAGCATCTGTGTAAGGTTAATGTTATCTCCATTTACAGTTAAGGACATTGAGGCTGAGCCAGGTTTATCTAAATGAGAGCTAGAGATTTTAATCTATATTGTTTAGACCAAGTTATTTTGGGATTATATAATAGAACAATTTCAGTGTTTCTGAAAGCCCAATGTGTTTGTACCACACTTGAAAAACTAATTGGTCATCATGAAATCGAGAGGGGAGTAGTTTTCCTGAAAGAAAGAAAAAAAAAAAAGTTAAAGAGTAGTAGAGTATTGTAGGTTAAATAGTGGATTGAATCGAATACAGGCATCTACTTTTACTCCCCCTTGAAATTTCACTAAAATATAGTAAAGAGATTTTCTGAGGGCATAAATCCACAAGGATGGGTAAAATGGAAGCACTAAAATATTGAGCTTTAGAGAGCAGTTGTCTTAGCAAATGTTAGCTTAAATCTGAGTCAGTAGTGAGGAGTGCTGCAGAACAATTTTATGTAAACTACAGAATCGTCAAAATGCACATAAACCTAGTCTGGAACTAAGAATGCAGATAGTGGTCCTGGGGAATGATTGTGTGTGGAGCCGGGAGTGTTTGTTTAAGGATAATTAGGTAAAAACTATTTGAGAAATACGTATCTAGATTCTCTTAACCTATTTCACACTTTTGGTTTACTGCCTTTCCCTCTGTAGTAGTCTGGTATATTCTCTTGAGAAAGTAAGAACTGGGAAACTCCAGGCACTATTAAATTGGGGGTTATGTTTATGAAAACAGGGATTAAGTTATGTTCACTGAAAGCTCAATTTCATCTCCCTTCTCTCACTGGACTTCCAGAACTTTTGCAGCGAAGCTAGTACTCTTTACAAAAAACCAAACCAAACTCACTGCCATCGAATGAGTTTCATAGCGATTCATAGCAACCCCCATAGGGTTTCTGAGGGTGTAAATGTTTATGGAAGTAGATGGCCCAGCCTTCCTTCCGCAGAGCAGCTTCTGGAATGTAAGAACCCCGCGGGCGCGCGGCGCGCACACACGCGCGCGCGCACACACACACAGAGACAGCAAATTCTTGTTAATCGCTGTAATTGTGTTCTATAAAGTCCTTGGGAACAATGAATTAGCAAACATGGAAACCTTAGGGGAAAAACAGGATTTTGTACCTGCAAGCTGCTGCTCACGTTTTCATCGACTAGTCAACATAGTTGACTAATGTTTTTGGTTAAAGACATTTTATTTAATATGTGTTATTGATTCATTAACAGTGATCTCACAGCCAACAGCACTATAACTCATGCCTGAATGATGCTCATCTAACTCATATTTGTTCTGTAAGGCACATCACAGCCTTCTTACACTGTGGATACTAGACAGGGCTTCAGCGCTATACATAGGGGCCATTTAAATAGCAAAATTACTAACAAAAATGTGAAAAACATGGCTGTAAGTATACCTCAAAAAGAATCCTTGTTTATAGTATAACAGCTGAAACAAGAAGGCAAGGCATTCAACCTTAGGTGGGCATATGTGTTTAAACTGGTTTTTTGTTACTCTGTGCATATTATTAAATGACCTAAAAAGCACCATGAGTATTGATTTTGGGGTTAAGAATAAATTTAGCAAATAAGTAAATTCACCAATACAGAATCTGCCAATAATTAGGGTCAACTGTATATGAAATGGTAAATAATAGGCCAGTCCCACTTGTTGCTTCTGGGGAGGAAAAGGAACCTGGTGGCTAGGAGAAAAGAGTGTCAGGAAGTTTTACACTATTTACATTTTTGTTCTTTAAAATTTTGTACCGTTTACATTATTCAGAAATGAATATCCTTTAAAAATTAATTGCACATGAACATACCCTTTCACACAGGAATTCCTCTTACAGGAATTTATTTTATGTAATTATACCAACACGTGAAATTATGTATGTACGTTGCCACTCGTTGCATATTTTTAGAGCAGAATATTGAAAACAATCTCAATGTTCATTAGTAGATGGTTGGTGAAATGTATTATGTACAGCCCTTCCATGGAATTCTGTGCAGCCATAAAAAAGAATGAAAGAAGTTCATTTTATAAAGATACAAGGAAGTCTTCAAAATATGTAACTGAAGAAAGAGGATTCAGAAAAATACACCACCAGTTAGTAAAAATGAAATTTTATAT